TATGAGAAAATGCGGCTGTTACACTCCAACCAAACACTCCACAGAAGAGCTCTTACGAGATTGCTCCAAATAATTCCCCTTCTACTTTTCATAGGGAAGGAGATGATTTATATACTGATATATTCAAATTTGATCATCACTTTTTTGTTTGACATTCGAGGATGTTAAGTGAAGGAACAAAAACAAGCCGAAACGAACACAGTTCTTGTCATAATCATTAAGACAATAGACTTCTCAATATACCTTCATATAATACTATGATGATGGTTCGAGGACAATTATCTCCATTGGTATGAGACCTTTTGGGTGTAACCAAAAGCAAAGCCGAGTCATGGAAACCTAGTTGTGTGGGAGGAATCCTCGGAGGACTAAACAGGAAGCCTATCACAGTCGGACAGACTCATAGAAAGAGTGAGGTATATGATTTTGCTATGATATATATAGTCGAAAGTGCATTTGATTTTGCTATTTGTTTTTTACTCAAAAGACCTGATCATTCGATAAAATACTATCCTTACATATCTTCACGTAGATCTTTCCTACTTTCAACCGATACGAAATTGTGTTATATTCGATCATGTCCCGACAATAAAGAGAGATAAAATCAAAGCCTTGTTTCGATATGGGAAAAGATATAAAACCACCCAAAGTTGTGTGTGTGCAAGAAAAAGCCACCAAACAAACACGGCCCTAAACCAGCCATCCTTTTTCTTTGTCTAACTTTTTATAGCTTTTTCTCTTGGATATAACATTAAGGCATTGATGAATTAGAAAATGCCAAACTTCTGAAAGGCATTTTCAGGCAATTAATTTTGTAACTTTTGATAAAGTAAAAGACAATGTCAAGACATTTCCTATCTTAGAATCAAAGCCCTTGGGGGTCTTTATTGTAAAGCCATATGATTGATCTTTTAACCCAAAAGTTATTCAACAAAAGATGTGTAATAATTTCAACTTTAAGATGAAGTCCAAATCCATTTCAGATTCTCTAGTCATTTTCTTACATTTAACTGATTAATTACCCCAAACAATCAACTATTTTTTGTTTTTGGGTAAAAAATGTGCAATATCTTATTGATTAAGCCTTTAGTCGTCATGTTTTTCAAACCCCATGATAGTCACGTGCCTAGAAATTATTTTTTTATGAATTCATTTGGTAACCAAATGTAGTATAGTTAGGCGGTTGTCATGTGAGATTAGTCGAGATGTGCGCAAAGGGACTCGGACACTCCGAATATATAAAAAAAAGAGAGATTTTTTTTTAAATTTTAAATTAATTTTTTTTTATTGTTATTTGCCTTTGGTCCAAGATTTTATCTTTTTGGGTTGAATAAGATATTTATTGAGACTATTAGTAACATTTCTTGTTTCTTGTTTTTGTTTTCTCCTTTTTAATCAAGAAAAATAGAATTACATGGCCTCAACACCTATGAATTCAAGAATGATAAAACAATAATTTTATCTTTATTTTGGAACAAATTGACAAGAAACTTRTTTTATTCCTTCCAAAGTTTCTATACAATTTTGAGAATATTTCTAAAAAAAAATGAGATAACAAGCAACATAAATAATTGTCAAATACCTATAAGATTTCTTAATAAAATAAAAAACGTAAAACAGTAAACAAAAACATTATTAAACGAGTCTCAATTTGCTTATTTTCCTACACTTACGAGGGAATAACCATGTAAAAGATTATTGGATACACGTTTTTGCTTTTGGTGTAAAAGCAACACATAGGTAATTTGCGTTGGGTAAAGGGTAAGATTTTTCGAATATATCAAAAAGTCTTTAAATAAATTTTAATTAAAGAAATAATGAAGCCGTTGTTTTAATTTTAGACAATAAATTTCGTTAAAGTTTAGAAATGTAATTGAAACTTTTTTCAAATCTAAAAATAAATTGACATGATGATAAAAACCTTAGTTTTAAGTATTAAATTGATTTTACTAAAAGTACATGAAAAATATCACTTATAAATAGTTAAGGATCATCTCGAAAGTATTCAATTGTTTATTTTTAGTTGTTGAGAAACAATTTCTTTTTTTCTTTGTTTTTATAATGGTCCTTTGTAATTTTATTTTAAATCTTCAGCAAGTTTTCAGTAAAATAAAATAAGTGTTTTAAAACTACTTTCTGACTAAAATTTTCAAAAATATAATAAAATGTTCTAAACTTTGGAGGTAAAATCTGAAGCCTAAAAACTATAAAGCATCCCATGAAATATTGTTTTTTTTTTTAAAAAAAAAAAAGAGGAAAAGGAATTGGAAAAAAAGAAAAAAGAAAAAAGAAAAAAAGAAAATCTTGTGTCGGCAAGGTCTTGAATCCCAAAAGTACTTTTGAAAAAAGCACAAAAGTCATGGGTTGATACCCATTCTATAAATTTGGAATTTTTAGGTCAGGAAGGATCAATAAGATTTTTTCTCCTAATTTGAGAATTATTATTTTTTTGTGGATATTTTATTAAATTTCATTTACCTCTCATACTTTGATAAACATGCCTTGCATCTCTAAAATAAATTATTGATGTTTGATTATGTTGTCAAAAAAATAACTATTATTGATGTTTAAATAGAATCCTGATTCAAGGTATAAATCTTTTCAACCTAAGTAGGTGTGGGTGGATAGTGGATAGTGGCGTAGTGGATTTGTGATCGAATAGAGATATCTCCGCTGCGACATAGTTGGAGCTTCTCCCTCCTTCCATTTAGGGACGAGTCTCACAACATCAGTTACAAGAATCCAATTGGCGAAGCACACAACATCGATTCCGAGTTTAAAAAAAAAAGTATGAGATTTTAATTTATGAGATTAAAAATTTTGAGGTTTTGAATTGGATTGACTTAAAATTTTCATTATATTCATGTAAATAATGACGAAGACTCTTAGACGACTTAATTTCATGATATATTTTGTAACAATCAAATTCAATTGAATTAAGAAAAACAAATTATTAAAAGAAGAAACTTTTTTTTCTCCTCTTGTAAAGGAAATAAACTAAATTTTACTGATCAAAATATTGTTTTCTTTGTCATCTTTTAAGGGTGATACTAGGAAAAAAAAACTATTGTCAAACGATTTACCGTCAAATTGTAATTAAATCGCTTATTAAAATTATATTGATTTTTTTTTATATATTTTTTAGTACGTGTATATTGAAATGAGTATATTATAAATGTTATTTAACTTTTAAGAAGAAATAACAACTTTTTTTTTTTAATGAAGACCTTAAAAGACAATAACTTTAAAAAGTCATCCTAAAATGATTTTACATTATTTTCATTCTAAAAAATAAAAATCATTTTGCAAATAATTTTCAGAAGAAGAATACTGCGTGCTTACTCATTCATCTCTTTAGGTTGACCACCAAAAAAAAATTTGACACAGAACAAAATATATATTTTTTATTTTTCTCTCAAACACTTGTAAAAAATTTAATGGTGGTGAGTAAAAGATGAATGCTGACAGATAAGCATTTAAGTTTCTCTAAAAAATGTCTCTTAAACTCAATTTATGATGTGACGTACATCTCAGTCCAATGATTATTTTATGATTGTATTAAACATGAGTCTAAAAAATCTAATTTAATTGCATTACAAAATGACATAAATCTTAGACATTTTCTACTCTTTTTTTAGCCAAAATTGTAATGCGGCCAGGCCCATATTCGGCACTGCATCCCTACGACCTGCACCACCTTATGATTGAGCTATCGAAAAAGGAGGTGCACCTTGTTAGTATAGGTAGTAACTCTCCATTTTTTTAAGCTTTTTTTTTATCATTCTTCCATGATTTCAAGATCTCTCTCATACATTCGGATGTGGTATCGGTTCATTCATGTACCCCTCCTCTCTACTTGAGTATCACGAAAATAATATCTTAAAACCGAACCCAAATTCAAATTTTTTGTTTAGAATAAAAATCATTTTTAAAAACCAAAAATATATAACTTGTTACAACCAAAATTATTAAAACAAAATGTCATGTTACTCTTGATTGACATTCCAACTTTAGTTTAATGAATGGAACAAAATAAAAAATTTAAAAGCATCAAGATCAAGTTGAAACTAACTTTAAACCACAAAACCTACCAAATGCAAGTTAATTAACCCAAAAAACAATTCGTGAAAAATATAAATATATATATAACTTGCCTTTTCTTTTCTTTTAGGTATTGACTTTAAAATGCTCTTCCATTTCTTTGCTCCCTTCTAAGTGCGGTGCTGGTACAGCAACTAAAAGAAAACAAAATTGTGACATATGGGTCAAAATTCACAAGCTTGATATTTGAAAAAGTAATGCAAATTTACATAGTTTTATTAGAGAGAAAAGTAAAGGAAAGAAAGAAAAGAAATAGAGAGCGGAGCCGCCCATTGACAAGAGCATGAGGTCTGTGGTATCTTTACCATGCCTCCTCAAGATAGTGTCCTTGAGCATATTAGGCTCAATACCATATCAATATTTATAGGGTTCCAACCATCATAGATGGTTCATTGGTCCAAAAAGGTCAGGTTAAATTGAGAGAAAATAGGCTCAAATACCATGATGACCACATACTTTAGGAATATTTCTCTGTGTTTTCCGACACTAAATGTTGTAGGGTCAGACAGTTGCCCCTTGAGATATTATAAGATTCTATCTCAAAACCGGAATAGTTTATGCATATTATAAACCTTTGTTAGGTATCATTATTTTTCCAATGTGGAATCCTTAATAACATCACCTACTGTAAGATCTTGCATTCGAACCTTTAGGTAGCTTAATACAAAAATAATTGAAGTTTTATGAGTCGTAGCCTAGAGCGCAGGTGCACTCTTGACTATATGGTAAAAAGCTAAAGAGATATCGATTCCGAGTAAATTAAAAAATGGTAAACGACCTGTAATTTACACTATTCAACAGTAGCCACAAAGACTCGAGCTCTTGGATTCTCTCTCTCTTCAGTCTAATTTCATTTTCTCTATGCGTCTTTGTTTTCCTAACCCCACCATTCACTCTCTCCTCCTTTTCTCTTTCACAGCAAAAGGCCACAGAAAAGAAAAAAAAAACGAAAGATGGAGAAAAAAGACCAACCAAAACCACCTTTTGTTCATCATTTGAATATCAATCTTTATAAAGCTTAAGTTTTTTTTTTTTTTTAACCTTTCAAGGGAGCTTATGCTAACCCTTTGAAGATGGGTTTGAGAAATCACATGGCAGAAGAAAACATCTTCTGCCTTCAATCCCCAAATTTCATAGAATGGCTTAAACCACATAGCCCTTCCTCTTCTTCCTCTCCCTCCATTTCCCTCTCTTCCTCTTCCTCTTCCTCTTCGTCGCTGAGAAACGATCGGAATTTTATCTCTCGGACCATCCAATGTGTCGCGGGGTCAAATCCTGACCAAGAATGTTTCGCTTCTCGATGCCTGCCTCTGTTCTTGGAGACGAAGGCTTCGATGAAGAAGGAAGAAGAAGGGCAATATCTCGAAGTTAAGGAAGAGGATGGAGATAGGGAGAAAGTTGAAGTGGGTCTGCACATTGGACTGCCGAACATGGGCGATGTCTTGGTGGCGGAGCGGAACATGAATGTTTGTGTCAAGAAAGAAGAGAGCGTCAAGAAAAGCTTCCCCAGTTTTAACACACAAGGAAGGTTTTGGATCCCAACACCGGCGCAGATCCTCGTCGGGCCGATGCAGTTTGCTTGCTCTATCTGCAACAAGTCCTTTAATAGATACAATAACATGCAGGTAACAATCAAAGTAGTTTATATTCAAGCATTTAGTAGTAAAGTTTTCTACATAGATATAAAACTTTAAAATCTTGATTATTATTACGTAACCCTACGTACGTTTTGAAGAATGAATAAACCACCACTCTAACTTGGTAAATTTAAACATATGAATTGTGAGTAAATTTAATTCATATATTGGATATCTAACACCTTCTTATTTTTTGTTACTGACAACTTTTATTTGAAGAATGAATAAACCACCACTCTAACTTGGTAAATTTAAACATATGGATTGTGAGTAAATTTAATTCATATATTGGATATCTAACACCTTCTTATTTTTTGTTACTGACAACTTTTATTTAGAGTTCTGAGTTTAGAGTTTACTTTAAGCAAGCTTAGAGTAAGTTTAGAACGGTTTACTAAATCTATGTCTACAAGGTTTTCAATGTAATTTGGGTAAATATCATTCAAATTCTCTTTATTTGGTAAAGATCAAGCCAATATTGTCTTATTAAACGAAAATGTTCTTCCAAAACAGATCTATATGGTTGTTTGGAAAGCGGAAATATTAATCTCTCTCTCTTTCTTTGTGACTTTGCAACCAATTATGGGGACCCCGTTAATGTTGCTAAAACTAGCTATCTCGTGAGGACACAGTCAAAAAATTAGACTACTTTCTTAGAGCCTCATCGTGTTTAGTGAAAGAAAAAGTTAAAACCATGTAGAAAAAGGAAAATCAAAGGCAATAATTAAGGATATGATAGATGTCCTAAACTTTGAAAACAACCAAAAAATCTTTGGTTAGTTTTTGCCTAATTCCAAGTTATCTTCTCCGGTCAACCGAACATAATTAACTCAATTGGTTACGACATTAATAATTTCCGTAAAATATCCATTAGGGATTCAAATCTCCCCTCACAAAAAGTACTCTCTCTAATCCTCGAATCTCAAGCACGCCTCCATGTTCGATACTAAAAATACCCAATCACAACCCAATTGGAGATTTCGAAACTCAAATTTAAATCTCTCTACTCATAATACCAACTAAAGACGTCTCTCTTTCTCTTAAAAGATTGCAAGTTCAAATCTTTCGTCCTCATATTTGCATTGCAATATTTTAAACCTAAGCTTATTTTAAACCTAAGCTTTCGATTTGAATAGTAATTTTATCTTACCACCCTGTAATGTCATCTCAAGTATTGATATAAGATCAAATTTACCGTAACCCACCAACTTAACCTTTTAAGTTGAAAAAGTGACAAATCTCACCGCCCAAAAGACATTTATAGTTACTTTTTGTTTGGCTAGATGCACATGTGGGGGCACGGATCCGAGTACAGAAAAGGGCCAGAATCCCTCCGAGGGACGCAGCCAGCAGCAATGCTGAGGCTGCCATGCTTCTGCTGCGCCCAAGGCTGCAAGAACAACATAAACCATCCAAGAGCCAAGCCACTGAAGGACTTCAGAACCCTCCAAACCCACTACAAGAGAAAGCATGGCTCCAAGCCCTTCATGTGCAGAAAATGTGGCAAAACTTTGGCTGTCAAAGGAGACTGGAGAACCCATGAGAAGAACTGTGGGAAGCTTTGGTTCTGCACCTGTGGCTCAGATTTCAAGCACAAGAGATCCCTCAAAGACCACATCAGATCCTTTGGCAAAGGTCATTCCCCTCTCTGCCCTGTCCTTGAAGATCATGATAAAGAATATTGCCTCACTGCCTCTGAACAAGAAGATGAGTAGTAGCTAGTAGTACTACTTCTTCACTCATAGAGGGCTCATCTTGAAATTATTATCTTTTTTACGTGTTATAATCGCTTGTGCTCGGTAACAAAACATTCTCTAATAGCTCAGCATAGGGACGAGAAATTATTCGAGGGGCTGAAACAATGGGACAGGACAAATGACGATGACATTGTGGCGGTCAGATTGAATAGTTTCTCCGATAGAGCTCAAAAGGGAGCGATTTGCTAGGGAGCACATAGTGATGAAAGTAATTTAGGGTTTTTTTTTCCTAATAAGTTGGGATTGGCGAAAGTGATGAAGTAGGTGAATTTTCTTCTTATCTTTCATGGAGGAAATTTGTCAGCTTCATTGCCTTATTATAAAGTTTCAATCTTTACTATTGAAGGTTGAAAAACTAGACTTTTTTTTTTTTTTTTTGGATTTTTAATCAAATGGCATGGTAATTATTTTAGCTTTTTTCTGGATCCATGGTGGGTAGAGCTTTGATATGTCTGCAAATTTGTGGGAACCATGCAAATCTTTTCAATATAATTGCATTGAGTTCGGATCTTTCTCTCTCTTATTGCTTTTGTTTGGATTGAAAAGTTCTCTATTAGATATATGAGCCATGAGGGGTGAGAATTTTAGTATATAAATTTATACATATATATCATAGAGAGAAAAAGACTACATCTGTCCTCGATGTAAAATTCCAATTAATTTAGTTTGAAATTGGATAGTTTCCTTTTCTTTGATAAAAAATTTTAATGGTAGGATTTATATATCTAAATTTATTTCCATAAAAATAATGCTGATTATTTTCTATTAAGGTTTAAATATCTCTCTTTTTTGAAAAGAAACATATCCAAAAAAGGAAAGTATAATAAATAAAAATACTCCAATTAAGAGGAATCGTAGTGATATCATAGTTACAAAAGAGGAAGATTTTTGCAGACCAAAGAGGAGCAGAAACCTCCCAAGAAAGTTATGCTATTTCGCTATGTATGCCAAAGAATAGTCTTGCTTCACAAAATATCTAATATCGTTCCCCCCTTATCTCTTAAAGCTTCAGCTTAAATTTACCTCTCAAAACAATTAAAATATTTCATGTATATGGGTTTCTCTAACTTTATGTGATGAAGTGTTCAATGTGATTAGGGAGAGCAAAACTAGTTTTAAAGGTGTCAAAAAGCTGAAACCAAAGCTGAAAACAAGTCCCATGAATCAAATTAAATAGGATTCACATTCTTGGGTGAATTCTCAACCTACACGTGGCATGTAATGATTGGTAGTCCAGCAGTACACGTACGTGTCGCCCGCACAAGTGTGTTTACCTCTGTCATGAGTCCTCATGTCGAGCCGACCTTATTCGATGGCCGAGCCGACCAAATGTATGACTTGGACCACTTCAACTCAGCCTATTCTCCAACAAACTCCGCGACATCACATTGTACTTCACCGCAACCTTAAAGAGTCGTTGAGGTTTTGTCGGGAACTCTGTCGGAGACGTCGCCTATAAATAGGATCATTCCGCTCCATTTCAAGGTACGCGATCAAACTTATTCTCTCTCGAGTTTACTCGGACGCTTACTGACTTTAGCATTGGAGTATCTACTCTGTTTTGTAGGTCATCTCTTTGGCATTTGGAGTTCTCTGTCTAGCTCGTCCCAGCTGATCCGAAGCTTGGAGACTTGATATTTTTTTTATCAAACACACATCTTCTATGACTATTATTTTCTTCCTCTCTTCTCTTTTTGGTGTTTTTCTTCATGGATTTCATTGAAAGACAGTAACATATATATTTGTTAAATTCCTTATTGTCAACAACAAGATGTACCCAAAAAAAAAAAAAAACAGCAAAAGATGGGGGAGGTTAAAAAAGAGAGTCCAACTTGGAGGCTTTCACCAAATCACCCACCAAAAACAGAGATTAATTACCGGCTTAATTTCAGCATTATAAGGCATTAATCAAGCACACAAAACCATTGTCTCCTATCATTATAATATATCACGACTTTCACAAATTCAAATAATCAAATATTATTGTTGCTCAAAAGAAAAAAAATCAAATATTAGAGTATTTGAAATTTGAATTTTCTCACCTTACTTGTAATCTTAAAAAGAAAAAAGTAATTTTTTTTTTTTCAAAAGAAGAGATTTCACAAAGACCCTTTTGCCAAATGCAAAAACAAAGACTATCATTATCCCTTCCCCACGAGAGAGAGAGATGTGAATATGTTGAAGTTAGGCTTGACCAAAATAAAAAAGGTGAAGGAAAAAAAAAAGAAGAAAAAAACACAACTAAGATATGTTTTTAAATTTTCTTTAAGATAATGGAGCTCCACCAAGTTTTGTCGGGGGAAAAAAATCTAATTTTGTTTATTAATTATTATTTTTCATCTAGGAGATTGACAACCACCACCTTTGGCAAAGTTTATTAATTTTTGGCCTTTTGATTGCTATCATTATGATCTACAATTAGAGGTAGATCACCCCCTAAACCTTATTTGGCGTTTAGTGCTAATCAAAATTAAGAAAAATAATTGGAGAAGAATTTTGCCCGTTTGATTTTAGTGTTGTAAAGCTATCACCTTTAAATTAATTTAGAGATAAAACAAAGGGAAGATTTTGTACACTAAATTTGTTACAAAATATTAAAGTTAGAATTTTGAGAAGATTATTGTGGGGATGGTTGAAAACTAAAGCTTAACAAATCATGTTATTTTTATAATAGTTTTATTTAATTTTTTTAATAGAAAATACTGACCATAGTCTAAAACCTTGAAAATGAGTTATTAAAGCTAATTATGTCATAATCGTTGAGTAATGGTATGTCTTTAATTCTCAAACAAGTTTCCAAGGTTTCTGCATGATAAAGAAAATTAAGATTAAATATTTGGACATAGAGAACTTATGAGAGAGAATTAATTGAAGTAATTGATTTTCCTCGACTAAACTCTTCAAACTTTAAAATAGTCTTAACTCTTGTTAATGGATAGTGAGCAGTAGTCTTCAAGGACCGACCACCGACCGTTGTGCCTCTGAAACCGATCAATAGACTTTAATTTCGATCAGTTTCACTCAAATTTTCAGCTACTTCTATGCACCCATAATATTAGAACCATATTACTTTATATTTATATTGTCGATCGTAAGATATTTTTGTTATCGGGTAAATCTAAGGTGACACGCACCTGAACTTGAATTGGCCGTCTGTGGACAATGCTCGAGCATCCCAAGGCAAAGTAAGTCGAGCGCACCTGGACGATTTGTATGACAATTAGCAAAGGAAGTGCTAACACCCTGTGCCTAAGTTGTGATAGACTTCAGAGAATCGCCCAGGACGTCGTTGCACCTCTCTGTTTTGCACAAAGGGAATCTCCATGCCCTTCCCACACGATTCTCTTCTTTCTCTCACTCTCTCTATCTATCTCTAAATAACTACTCTAGGAAACCTAATCAAGGTACACAAAATCTTACCTAAACCCTTGCATGAATATATATTGATCTTCACACTCACACATCTAGGGCAGACTGTCACTAAGATTCCTGCAATTACTATACATGCTTCATACTCTTGCTCATATCTTAAGTATTAATTTAAGCATCAGAGTGTAATCGGTAAAGTACTATACCAATACTAGATTTCTATGTGTAGGTCAACTATGAGCTAGGAGACGAGAGGACGTGTGCGACATCTTTGCTCATATCTTAAATACTAATTTAAGCATCAAGAATATAATCAGTAAAGCACTATATCAATACTAGATTTCTATGTGTAGGTCAACTATGGGCTAGGAGACGAGAGGGCGTGTGTGACACCTTTGTTGCACCCACGCAGTACCCACCCAGCAATCAAAATATCAACAATTCTCATAACTCTCTAATTTATTGGTGGAATAATAAACGCTCCCCATGCTGGTCATACTTCTTAACCGGAAAATATTAATCCCATAATTTCATATCCCTTCACATATCCATCAAATTCTCTTAAAAAACCTAAAAATTACTGTCATATATTTAGAAGTTAATTATTAAATTAATTCTAACTATCAAAATTCCTTTTAAATATTATTACCGAAGTAAACTTGTTTTAAAAAGAGAGAGAACAAAACTTAAGTGTTTAGTTGGATGCTAAAACTAAAAGGGAAAAAGGAAGATAAATTGAATGACCTCTAAAAGAATAAAAAAGGGCCCTCATCATTATAGTTCTTAAAAGCAAACATCTCTCTATTCCTAGATTCACATCTTACCTAACCCTCGTATATCCAACCACTCTAAATCAGCCAACCAAAGATCATTTCAACATTCTCATCAAATCAATTTTTTTTTTTAAGATTTAGATTTAGGTAAATCAAAAGAATTCGAAAAGAATAGTCCCATGAGCCAGAATTAATTTTAGATGTGTTTCCTTGACCGCTAAATGTAGTAGGATAAGATATTAGTCGAATTGCATCTAATCTGACTCATAAGTAGTTATGGATTAAAAGAAAAGATTTAGTTAGACTTTCAAAATAATTTTCTATTTATAAAAATTAAAAATATTTTTATGTGAGAATTTGCGTGTGGCGGGAAATTTTTTTAAAACAGCTAAAGAAAAAAGATACATCCAATTGGATTTAGAAAGACCTAACAATGCTAGAAAGCAACATACAATATTGTTGTGTCAAATCCTATAAATTTGAAAACAAAATGTATAGGAGATCAAAGAAAAATCAGGGCCAGAAAAACAATAAAAATGAGGAAAATTTTATCTCTAAAGTTGGTTAAGTAAGTCCATTCTTATCCTCAACCTTCAACTTTATAGAATTGAAATTTAAATTTAGATAAGTTTTATAATTTTAACTATAGAGTTAAATAAGTGTTGCAATTTCAAACTTCAGTCAGATTTTTTATTTGAAAATTTGTTTTCTTTTTTCTTATGTTCATTCGATGATTTACATGTGCTTCAAAAAAAATACAGACACCATAGTTAATTAAAACTTTATTGCTTTTTGTTGGTAGCAGATAAAAGTTGAACAGAAAATATATAAAAGTTGTAACATTTATGCAAGTCAAAGTGGTCTAAGATTCAATAGGTTGAAGTTGAAAGTTCAAAAATTGATTCTTGACCAGCTTAGAGGTTAAAAAATAAATGTTTACTTAATAATAATAATAGACCACTTTACAATAAAAACTAATTATTCATTTAGGTTTTTGTATTTTAATGACTTAAAACTAATAGTAAACTAGTGGCTAAACTTATGATAATGATGAGTTTATAAGTAAAGTAAATGTTTCATTAATTTAAAAACTATCAATATTAAAGTAGCTAGGTGACTTACGACTAGATAGTAAATGAGAGACTAGTAGATCCTAGTGTATTAGGAACAAAATAACGGTAGATAACTGAGCATGTGATGGATCTAAGATTTTATGTAAGAAGGCGAAGGCACAAATGCATATAAATACAATGGAAAAATATCAATTTTAAGGACGAACTTGGCGATGTATATCAATTTGCACATTACACTTAGATACATGTTGCGATCTTCATTTTAAATTTAAGTGTCACAAATTTTACCCTTT